AGCAAGAGAGAGAGAGGGGTTCAGATAGTTGAAAATTTTTTGATAGAAAGGATTTGAATAGGTTCTGACTGACTGGACTGACTTGGTTAGTAACTGGACTGGATCGGAACCATGGATTAGGACATGAGAGAGATGGTGTAAGTACGCAGCATGCCAGAGACAGGGTGTAGAGATTGTGAGCTGCATGTTTTGTTTCTGGCTGAAGGCCATTCTGGCGAGCTCTGAGTTTGTTTTAATTCCTCTCTGGTTCTGATATGACCTATGAGGTACAGATTGATGTGGTGGTTTGAAGCTCGAGGACTTTTATTGGGGTGGAATTGCGCACCCATTAAGAGCAGTCATGCTGACAGAGGCATTTGATGAATGACATGATGAACCAACAACTTTTTAGAGAAGTCGGAGGCACCACTGGAATTTTTGTTGTCTTACATGTTTGTCATTGTTTGTGTCTGTATGTTTGTCTTTTTCTGTTTGTTTACTAACATCTTAGCCTTTAGAAAAAGAAAAAAAAAGACGTGCCACGTATGTTAATTTTGTTTGAATAATTTTGACTACACTTCGGATGGAAATGTTTCAAAATGAACAATGGACTTTTTGTTTGGAGAGACATTGGACACTTTCTTTCTTGAGTCACAGGAAGAATTACACTACAAGGGGCACAGAGACTAACTTTACACCTAAACCTCAGAAGGACGAATGGTGTGCAGCTGCTGAGATGTGGACATTAAGGAAGTGACTGGATGCCCACTGCTTCAGATGAGAACAGGCCACTGGCTGTGATGGAGTGATGGAGGTCATGGGATCCTCGAACAAGACAGATGAAAAAGATAAGTGAACTGACACACCAGATTTCTTATTCACAATGAAAGATTATGAGAGATTTATTCAAAACAGGTTGAAATGGTCTGCTAAGTATTCTGCATATCATCAAGGGGTGGGGTATTCTTAAATAGAGGAATAAAAAAGAGGATTTAGAGATGTTTTACTATGTGATAAATTAGACTGGGGTTTTTTGATAAATTGTTTGGTCAGTTGTTAATTATCAGAATATTACAGGGACAACAAGTTGAAACTTCAACATTTGGGAAAAGGTAAACCAGCAACAACAAAATGCACTTTAGGATAAATTAGAACATTTTCTGAGTGAATTTTTAAAGCAAATGATGACATCTTTCAATATAAGCAATATTGATGAAGACTTAATGAGTTAATAGTGCTTATGGCAATTAAATATCAGGCCCAGGATCTAAACCTTCACCAGTTTTTTTTTTACTGCGAGCAGAGTTATAAATAGCATTTGAGGGGCTATATACAATTTGGGGGATGGGTAACCATACTTTTTATGCATGAAGCAATAAGAACACCTGACTTTACTTCACCTACAGCTGCAATCAATACTTTAGAGGGAATGCACACTTATTATGGTAGTTTATTTGATATAACACATTTAAGAGGAGATTTTTGATCTGGTCAGGGGTCCAGATATGACAACTATTGACTGGTTCTGGGGATGTTGGAACAGATTTTCTTTTTTGTTTTTTGTTTTTTTTTGGTTCTTTGTTTTTTGTTTTTGTTTTTTCTTTTCTTTTTACACCGGGGCACTGCTTTTTTTGGAGAATATTTTAAAAGGACTATAGCTGGACACTTTGCATAGAGGGGGTGCAGTCGAATTCAACACCTTCAGGAACTGTGTACTGCTGAGTTTTGGGAACGCAGCAGCGAGTCAGAGTACCAGGATAATTCTTGATTTTACCTAATTGTGATTTAAAGGTTGTGATTTATTTTGATTTTGTTTTGTTGAAAATCATGGAAATATTTTGCTCCAGACCCACCAAGATCAAGTTTTATGCCACTTTTTCTTTGATGTAGAAAGACTCAGAAACTGATTGGCTTAAAGGTTCTTTAATTATTTGGTAATGATAATTGTCAGATTCAAAACAGGGTTTTCCTTGCTCAGATTGACCAAGAGTGGGATTTCCCTGGGGTCACCCCGGTTTTTACTACCTTTTAGAGAAGGTAGGGTTTTCCGGTGGAGAACGGCCCGACCTGTCCTGTGATGTCCCCTAATGTGACTGAATGATTGGTAAAGTTAGATGGATGGTTTATCCATGATGAGCGGTCACATTTTAGGAGGCCTCCAGGTAGGAGTGAGAGTAGATACATTTGACCTTATTAGATTTATAGGCTTAGGTTATCTAGTCTAAGGTAAATTAAAATAATGTGTGCATAGGAAACTAAAACAGCTTTCCTTTAATTAGATGAAACCTAAACTGTAGTTAAATGTTGAAACTGTGGTCTTGAGTGACAACATTTGGTCTGTGAAGTTTTTACTTTTGATCCCTGATTAATTGTTTTAAGCTACCTGTAAAAACGGTAACTTATCAGGGGGAGTTGTTAGGTTTATTCTTTTATACATCATGTGCATTGTTACTTTGTTAGCCAGATACACAGGATATGAGCACATCTTGGAGCCGGTCTGATAAAGGGAAGCTATCTGTAATTCTTGGGAATAGAGGCAAGATGCACACAGGTCAGGGCATGGATGGCGTGTCAGTTTCTGATACGGACAGCTAAACATCCACATGATCCAACACATAGACTCATGAGCTATAAGAAGGAGAAGATGACCTTGTTCGGGGCTAAANATACTATTATGCCATAGCAAAAGTCTGGCATCTTCCTTTTAATAAACCCAGCAAATTCCTGTTACATAATGTAAGATGTGTTGACAAACCAAATCGATTGAAACTTACTAAGGTTAGTTACTTCGCTTCTTGTTATTAGCCAGCTAACGTTAGGCTAATAATGAAAATACAACAACACTCAGAATATTGTTATTAGCCAACTAATAACTACAACCACATCCACAAAGATTGTATTTTACACCAAAGATTAATTGTCATATAATCGTTATTGGAGTCAGTAAAACCTATATAATTGACTAATAATCTCAGCCTTGATAACTTGCGCAAGTAGCCGTGATGCACAACTATGCTGCGCGATTAAGCAATCTTTCGACAAGAAAATCTGCAATTTCGACATGTTCAAGCATAAAGAATAATGGCCACGTTCATAATGTTTGTAAGAAACCAAACTGTTTGTAAGAATTCAGTGAGATAAGAGTATTTGTGTTCGTGCTGATCACTCACCTTACATTAGGTACCACAGAGCACACCAGAAAGCCTGCCTGAGGCGAGATGGCCACCCGGTGATGACGTTTGAGACTCCGCCGTAAGACATCTAGCCTTTATTATGGATATCTATGATTATAAAGGCATGTGGTGGGGGTTCGGACCGGTTCGGTCTGGTTCTGATGGGGTTTCAGGTGTTCAGCTTGTCTGGAGGTTCAGTTCTTCAGGTGGTTCTGTGATGTGTTACCATAGAAACTGCTCCCCTCAGCACACCTGGACCCAGTCATCAGTGTTGCCCAATGGCACTTCAGAGGAATTAGAGGAACAAAGGTGACCAGATTACTGAAATCTGGTCTGCAGACATTGATAAAAATAAATAAATAAAATCTAAATTAAAATAGGAAACAGGGACAAAGATGCTTTCTTTCATCTTAACATATTTATTAATATTTAACTGAGAAGTC